ACTCAGTTTCAAATATATACGCCAAAATAATTCTTAGACATCTAGTATATCCTATTCGAATTATGTGAGTCCAGTGTTGTGCTAAGACTTTATTATATATTAGGATCTGGCTTCAACCTACTAAATAAGAACTTTATTCTAAATACTAAAAAAATGAAATCAATCAAACTAATTACGCCTGGACTTCAACTATTTGTAAAGTTTTCTTAATTTTGTAGTTGCACGTGAATTGAATGCTTTCAATTGAATGCTGGATAACATTATTGTTTCTAGTCTTTCACTGGTTGGTTGTAAAAAGAGGCAGCTAAATAACAAACAACCCCATTCAATGGATTTGTAGTTGCACCAAGTCGGAATCGTGATGTGCACAAAAAAATAATATGCAGGATGGTTCCTGGTTGGAGGCTATTGCTTGTGGCGCTGTTGCTGCCACCTGTTTTGCAACACGATCGAGCTTTTTATGCTCAACTCCTATTGTTGTTGTTGTTGTTGTTGAAAACCCGTCTAAATCTAAAAACGAAGCAACATGTGTGTGCGTTTGAGAGTGCCGGCAAAGCGGCCAGCACCACTCAATGAGGACAGATGTGGGCAAATCGTAACTGGCAATGGGGAGCAAGGTGTCGGTACGTGCCACAAGACGGGCGACTCGTTGGGGGTTGCCTCCACCGCCTCCAGGTGGGTGCGAATGCTAGCAAAGCAAAAATATTTGCACGACGCAACTCACACACACAGTCACACACACATGTAGACTGAGCGCGTGTGGGCGGTTGCGCAACGCAGCTGCTGCCGTCAACAACAGCAGCGCCGACATCGCTTGCATTGAACTCGGAAGTAAACGCAATAGAGAATAATGCGCGAGTATAGACCAAACCAGTTAGCAACATGCAACATCATAACATATTCAAATCGCCAGCGTCAACGTCAACGTCAGCTTCAGCGTCGACAGCGGCAGAGCGCAGCATCTAGCGTCGCGACGCCAACGACAAAAAATGTTCGAGCAACGCTGCTTTTACTCTCACGTCAAAAGTTTTGCTGCTCAACGACGCCGTCACGAATTAAACTAAACAACAACTCGACATGGCCAAAAAAAAGAAAAACAACACAAAAAATTGACGAACACACGGCAAGGAGCAGACCTGAAGGCCCGACTGGCAAATACCTTGCTTCACAGTTACCAAACATCCCAAATCCCGAATTGCATAGGTTCTCTATTTTCGAGTGTTTCGCAACATAGGTTGAATGATATGTAAAGGACTGCGTATTGAAGAGCTGATCTCTAACTTGAAGTTTAGATTGAGAAACATCAACAGGCGCCAAAACTGCTGAATTTTTATTAGTACTTATATTAAAAATTAAAAAAACATAAAGGTATCTCAAGTACCTAGACAGACAATTATATATCTTATGTATTTAAAGAACATGTTATGTCAATTTCACCCTGATTTGGATAGGATTATTTCTTTCCCTTCCCTTTCAACATAATATGTATAATTATAGGCAATTGAGATATATTTAAATATCTCTATAGTCTTTGGTATGATGTGCATATTATTGTATGATATGATTTTTGTCAAATCATCCAAGTTTGTACATAATTTAACACTAGTATTTTATGTATGCTCCAAATTTGCTTTATCGTCGTAATGAATGTATGTTCCTCACATCGAGATATATACTTCTTCAGTTAGATAGTTATTTTTTAGGATTTCATACAACAATTTGAATTCATTCTTGCAGTCGATATTCCTACTCTTTGTTAAGCCTAAGGTGACCATGCACTTGTGCCACAGTGTGTGGCAAACTGAAGAACCCCGTTCGCTTGTGGCTTGCCAAAAAGTAATGACATCATGTGAATCAGCGGGCCGCAGCGGCGCACGCATCGATGCCGCAGATACAACGGCAATAAAAACAAGAGCGACAAAATACAAATGCCGAGAAATTGGTTCAGGTTCAGGCGACACCCCGTTTGGAGTCCGCATCGCCAGTCGTCGTTTGTCCACAGCCTGCAAAAGAAGTCGATGGCGATGGCGTTGACGAAGTCAGGCTGGAAGAGGATGGAGTCGATGGCTGGCATCGCAGCTAGCGCCAAGCGCTGACCTTCAATCAAAATTCGGCGAGCAAATTAGAATTGGCGCGCGATTTGCTTTCCGATTGGGCAAATGCAGTTTTTTGGGGCCAAAAGATAAACTGGCCAAACAAAAAAAGAAAAAAAATATAATAAAATATGTATCGCAGCTCGCAGAGCTCATGCAGCAAAGCAGTAAAGCGAACGGCAAAAATGTTTCAAGGCGAAATTCGCACAGCGACAGCGTCGCTGCTGCTGCTGCTGCGGCTGTTGCTGTTGCTGCTGCGTCATGGTAACAACAATAACAACAGCAACAACATTCGCCTGCCAGCCAGCCAGCCAGTCAGTCAGTCAGTTCGTCGCATAAAATAGCACAGAGCGCACACGAAGCGGACGACGAGCTAAAAACAACAACCAAAAACTACCTGGCACGGCTACAGCAACGAAACCTAACCAGTACAGTGGTAAAAGATCACTCGAAAAATGAAAGACAACAAGATATTTGCCATTTGCACACGCTCAACAAACCAGGCTGAGTTCACAGCTCACACTGCCAGTCCAACATGAGCTCGATTCAACTTTTTGAAAAATTACGAGCTACAAAAAATAATATTGACTTTATTATTTGATTACAAATAAGAACAATAGAGCTAAATGTATAAAGATTTGCACAATCTACAGATTCCTCCCCACAATACTGAAAATGCTGCATTGCAAATGAAAATATAGCACATATTCAATAGATAAAATATTTATATGAAATAAATGCTTGAAGAATAACAAGCATCGCATTCTCGGTAATGCAACGAAAAGAAGAGTCAGTTCCACTGTGCGACGTTGACGACGACGTGCCCAAATGCCCAAGCACTCGCAGATACAGATACAAATGCAGCGAAACTGAGATACAGCTACAACACGCTGAAATAAACAAAAATGTTGAACAAAGCAGCGACGGCAACGGCAACGACGGTTCAGCAGCAACATCAGCCGCCCAACAGCCGCAGTCGAGTTCAGTTTTAGTTTTCGCAGCGACGGCAACGGCAACAGTGGCGGCAGTTTTTAGTTTTGCTTCTGCTTCCACTTTACGTTGCCTTCGCACATACCACAGCGAAACTCACACAAATCCAACACACACACATCCATGCGTCAGTCTCTGTTCTCTGTGTGTGTGTGTTTCTGTGTGCGCTGTGGAAATGTACCTTTATATAAACGACGACCCAGCACAACACTACACGAAACCCCAACTGACAAGACTGCCAACACACAAACACAATATACATGCTTATATACACACATATTAATATATGTATATACGTATATAAATATATATATATATGTATATGTTGTGTGTGTGCGTGTGTAGACAGTTACTCAGCGCTGTGTCAGAGTTGCCATATTGTTCTGCATTATCATAGCATAGGAATCGAGACTACATAGATAATATAGGACTATCATACTATTGAGAAATATTTCTTTAGTCAAATAAGGGGTAATTAGACCTTAAGCTAGTCTTATATAGCTCACATAAAATATAGATATTCAAGATATATAGAGTTATAGATTTACTAGAGGAAAAAATTATATTTATAACATATCAAAAATTCTTAATCAATATATAATGAATCTAATAAGTTATTGAAATCTACAATATTAACATTCAAGAATGTATTTACCACAGGTATCTTAATTAGGGATATAAAATACCCAATTCTGTTTTTAAAGTTATCGCATATGAGATTTTGAATTTCTCGATAAACATATGGTTGTTCAGATAGAAAGTCAGCAAAATCAGCTAAAAACTGAGACGTATCGAATGCATTTCAGTTGTTTTGCTCGCTAGTTATACAATCCATTCGAGAGACTTTCAAATATTGCCTCTCGAGCGGCACACCGGATCTGGCAACGCTGGCAGCATTTAAATAACAGCCGCTTGCTGATGCCACTGCCACTCCTACGACCGGCAGCCGGGGCCGTTTGCGTTTGCACAACGTTCGCTGTGATATTGCTTTTGCTATGAGCTTACTGCTGTCGCTGCTCTTGCTGGCTGTCTTTATTTCACTGAAATCTTCATGCTGGCAATGCTGTCGATTTCGCATACAGCTGGCAATGCCAACAGCCCAAAGTGTTGTCGTCGCTACCCTCCCCGTTCTCTGACGACCGACAAACTCGTTCAATTTCAATGCTTTTTACATAAGTGCGCGTCGTTCGCTTGCCTTGGTGCGAGCAGAGCGACCGTTGTGCTCTCTCAGTCGTGCGCTCTGCCGTTTCGTGCTGTTGTATGAGTGTACACACTGTACAGGGGTGCATTTACTAAATGTAGCAGCTACGCTCGCCTGTTTGTGTGTGTGTTGTGTGAGTGTGTGCGACTGTTTGTGTGTGAGTTTCGTTGCTGGCTTTGCCTGCGTTCGCTGCCTGCTGCCTGCTTCTTGAGCGCTGACCAGTTTATTTGTGATTTTAGCATGGCAGACTGAGGTACACGTCGCTCTCGCAATCGTGTCGAACGCAAACCGATACGAAAAAAATTCGACGTAAATTTCTGACCCCGTACTTGCAGCAGCGCGCGTAATTCAAAGTTATCACAACAACTAACAAATATTCAATTCAAGTAACATTCAAAAGTGTGTGTAGTAAAAATTGATTCAATCAGTTAAATTGGCAACAAAAGTATTTACACAAAATATATAAATTACAGTTTACAGTTTAAAAGTGAAGCCAAGAGAACAAATATATTAAGAATTCGTTCTAAGTAGTAGTGTCCAAAAATGTCATTGTCATCTGTTCATTGTGATGTGGTGAGCCAAGTGGCTGGCTCTAGCCAACTCCTGCTGGCTGCACTGTGAGGACATTAACCAGTGACTGAGATTAAATCAAAGAAATACGCAAAAAAAAGAAGAAAAGAAAAACTGGCAAACAACAACACTAACTTAGTTTCAGGTGTTAGTTGTTGCAACAAAAAATTTAGTTATTTTATTGCCACGGCCATTGGCTATTTTGGTAAATTGGATAAACGCAGTGAACGCGCATCTCTGGAAACGGCCCGGCCGAAAATGTGCACAGAGGTGAGTGTCCATAGATCACATATCATGCCACAAACTATGCTGGCTTACCACCTAATAAACCAGAACGTATTCGTATCATATGACTGCCATTTGGGCTAACAGGCATATTTCAATTGCACTGCCAATTGGACCAGCAATTTGGCGGGCTGAATAAATCACTGTGCTCAAGCTGAAAACTACCTGCCTTAGAAAATGCACACACTTCTGAGTTTCATTTTACTGAACAATAGATCCATAACAATTATATATATATACATTTCATTTCAAAAATATATTTGTTTCGATAACTGAAAGTGAATATTATTCAGATTAGTTTTGGTATTCAGAGTATATTAAAACTATGCAATTGCTACAAGGGTTATGTAATAAGGATTATATATTTATAAATTACTTAGAAATGACAGCAAAATTAAACAACTAAACATATCCAGCTTGAAATATGCCTACCACTTATAAACTATAGTTACATATTGGGTCTTTCTCTCAGACTAAATCGTATTCATATTAGGTCAACCAACAACAAGGACTAACTTTGTGACTTAGGCCCAGCTTCAAGGCGCCAAGCGCAACGACAGCTTTTTAGCCAAATAGTTAGCCAAACAATTACGTTCGAGTCAAGTCATTAAAGAAATGCAGCGTCGTTCCATGGGTTTATCAGCGCAACATGAACTTGTCTCAAGTTCAGTCTATGAACAGTTGTTGCTGATAACAGATTGTGTTCCCAGGTTGGCCCAACTAAACTAAACTAAACAAATCGCAGCTGACGCTTCCATTCATAAGCATATTTTTTGGTGAATCATTCAAGTGGGTCGCCCCCCTTGGGTAGCTTTCATATTTTGTAGTTGTAGCTCTATTTGTATGTGTGTGGCTGTGTGTGTGTAAGTTGTGTTGTTGCACCTTTTACTTAGAAATGCGCGTAAAACTGACTGAAAGCTTCAACATGTGGTTTCAATATGGAATACGCTGTGCCGCCCGCCTACACTTATTGGCATTGGTCTGTGCCTCTGCCTGTGCGTGGGTGGATGGGGGTTGATTTTTGTTCGCTTTGGGTTTGCATTGGATCTATGTCTCTATGAGTATCTGTGTATTTGTGTGTGGCTGGCATGACGAGACACACACACTCAGATACACTTGTGCTGCATACATGTCTGTGCTTGTGTGCAACTTGGCTTTCGTTGCATGCAGGATAATAGCAGGCACAGCGCTTATCATAACAACAGCAACAGCAGCGCAACCAATTGTGCCTTCGTCATGTAAACAATGCAAAAGTTGCACGTGCTGGCGCTGCCATCATGCAGCGCCATCTATTGGCACACATTTACTTAAGCGCAATATGCTAAATAGCTGCTGCCGCAGCCGCAGCCGCTGTCTCTGTCTCCGTCGCTGCTGCCGGCTAAGCTGGCGTCGCCGTTTCTGTCTCCATTGTCTAATGCAACAATTGTTTGGACGCTGGCGTCGCAGCCGCAGCAGCGACGCAGACAGCTGACTTTGGGGCCGTTTAATTAATTACAAACATACTCGACGGCACTCGACACACAGCACTCGAAAAAACAACACAAAACACAAAGCGCAAAAAAGAAGAATTGAAATAAAAAGTAAATAAATAAATGAAAAAGAATAATAGCAACAAACTTTTCGTGGACGTCTCAACATCGTCGTCGTCGACGTCGCGGCATTTTCTCTTTCGTTAGCGTCTAAAGTCGCGTGTTGTAAAACGCCAGCGTCGACATCAGATTTGTATTAATTTCTTGGCTCTTCTTGGCGCTGACAGCAGCAAAATCGTTTCATAGAATTTTGTACTTGCCACTACAAAAAAGGTATTATGTGCTAGCCAAGTGGATTGCAATGCATACCTGAATTTAAATTGGCATGTTTAGTTTTATAAAAACATTTGCAAATGTACCTAAACCTATGAATGCATTTTGAGTATCTTATCTTTTAGTTACAGTAGTTCTGCAAGTTGACACTTTTTGCAGTTCAAAACTATTTCATTCACTTGTCTATCATTAGATTTCCTTGCAATACATTTGTTCCACTATAGCTATATATCTCTGTTAATTTAACAAATCCAACTGAATAGTTTTCGAAACCTGCACTTTCAATAGTTGTGCTGAAGAAATTGCTTTGATTACTTTTGTGGCTTCATAATCATTGCACACTTTAACCTAATAGCGCATTTTGCAGATATTATTTTTGAATACTTGCAGCACTTGTTAGTACGCTGAAGGGCATTTCGGAGTCGGACTCAACTTTTATATAAATACAGCACAAATGTGTTATCATTATTTTGCTTGCTCTCCTTTTTAATTGTTCTTTATAGCTGTGGCGTATGAGTGTGTGTGTGTCCCCTGTGTGTGCGTGTGTGTGTGTTGTTGTTGTTATGGTTTTTTAGGGTGGTGCAAATTCCGGCACGAGACTTAATTCACTTAATTGAGCAAGCAGCGACGACAAAGACGGCGACTGTGGCAGCGACAGCGGCAGCGGCGCTGGCTGCTGCGCTGATAGCATCGACGTCGCAGTCGCAATTGCTGCGGCACAAATAGTTTGAAATTGGCGCCGGTCCGGCACGGCCCCAGACCCGGACCCGGCTCCGGAATTGGCCTCGGCTCTGGCTTTGGCTCTGGCTGTTGTTGTTGTTATTATTATTGCTGTTGTTATTGGCCATTTGATTTCACTTTCTCAGATACATTAACACAAGTGCGCTGCATGCGCACGCCTTTTGAGTAATTGGTAGAAGAGGCACAGCACCACAGCTCCATTGCCCGGAAGTAAGAACCGAACGTGGGGGCTTGTTTGGGTTTGTTGGGGTGCAGGGCTGGGCTGTGGGGCAGGCAGCCTCCTGTGCCATTTTCTTTGCTCTTCGATTTTATGAATGAAAACGCGAAGGCGAAACGCGACTTGGTCGGTCGGTTTTGCTGTGGTTTACTTGCTGGGCTTGCATTGCTTTATTTGCATGCATGTGGCAGGCAGTCAGGACGCACACACACACACACACATACGTACGAGGATACACGTACACTGGTACATGTCTGCTGCCATAAAAATGCCTTTGGGGGCCCGACTTACGACGCGTCGTCGACGTCGCCGTCGTCATCGTCGTTGTCATTGTCCTCTCTTTGCATGTGTGCTGCTTGTGTTTTGTACGTGTGTGTGTGTGTGTGTGCGAGTTCCATTAATGGCATTATTATCCTTTCCGACCCATTTGGGCTGGCGGCTGGCTGCTGGCTTTTTAATTTTTGTCCCGCTTCTTAAACTTGTTGCTTGGCGGTCAAGTGCACCACTGAAAGCGAAAAGCACCTCTCAATGATAAAGTTTAAATAATAATAAAATAAAAAAAAAGCAGCACAGACACTTAAGGGTTGTTTTCCCCTCCGCTTCTGGCTGCTTGGTTCTTCTGTTCTTCACTTAACTCGCGCCAAACGTAAAAGTGTTCTTCCTGCTGCTGCCTGCCACAGCCTTGACGCAAAAATGTAAACAAAATGCCGCATGGCCATTTGGGAAACTGACACAAACACATGCACGCACACACACAAACACACATATTTATATATGTATGTGTGTACAGGTAGCCATCACTAGGTGAGAAAAAGACGAGTTAACTATGTTAGGAGAGGGGAAAAGGGGTGGTGCGGAGCGCCAACTTGTCGCGCATGAGTAATCGACTAAAGTCACGACTTTAGTTTAAAGTTACTTGCAAGAGTTGTTAGTGGACTAAGACTTAACTTTTAAGTGGTGCTTGCGGAGAGATCGCCTCTGAATAATAATAATAATTGGCCAAAGTTCTATGCTCTAAGTATCAACCAAATATCCACCTTCTTAATATGTAAATATTTGCTATTTGATAGAGCTATTAATCGTGTTTGCCAATCTACAACTTAACAATCGCCCCAGTATCAGTATTATCACATTTTTAAATGTTATCGATTTTAGTTTAATTATTCAAAAATAATTAGCATGACTTTAACTACTACTGATAGTCTTATCAACGCTCTCATTTGCTACACAAAGTTCAAAAACCTTTTCAATTGTTAAGCTTTACTCTTACTCTCTTAAAGATTTGTTATTTCCCGATTAGCAAATCATATATGCAGAATAATTTGAAAGGGTAAAATCTTATTCAGCATAATTCACTGGCTATAATACATATATATAATATAAGCTTATTACATTTTAACAAGAACTGTGTTTTTTTGCGTTAATTATCTTAACATCAAGTTGCTTTCTCATTGCACTTCTCCAGATACTTAGCGTCCTTGCGTATTGTTCGATGAATTGCTCGATGAATTAGTCAAGCCATTCAAAACAAGAAAACCCCCCGATGACAAATTGACAATTGCAAGACATTGACCATCGACTTTGCTACTGCGAGACTCAGTTGACCGATTGGCTGCTTGGTTGGTTGGTTGGGGCTGTTGCTGTTGCTTAACAGATTTACTCGAAACTCGAAACGTGCCACATGCTTATATGGGGGATTGACTATACGATGCGGCCGACACAGTCAATGTTGTATGTTTTGCGGCTAATGTATGCCCAAAGCGTGCAACAACATCAAGCAGCAAACGCAACAACAACAACAAACAGCTGTAGTTGCCTGACAGTGTGTTGCACAAAATCTTATCAATGAATGCGCATCACTTGCACTTGTTTGCACTAGCTAACTAACAAGAGGAGGGGGCAACTGGAGGCATGGGGGATGCACCGGCTACATAAATGGTGCGGCATTTGTTGATGATGGCAGCACGATGACGTGACGCGCAATTCACTCACACAGTCACAGATACAGATACAGATACAGAGCAGCTATTGCGAATGCAGAGCTAAACAGATACAGATACATTTATGGGTTTAGCTAGGCAGAGCGAGCGATGCACACACGCACACAATTAACATTATTAAATCGCTTGCCGCAAATTTGTGGTTGCGTCACCTACTTAGCAAGAACTGCCACTCGGACACTTGTACTGCGCTAAAGGATAACCCAACAGCAACAACAGCAACAG